TTTTTTTTTTTTTTTGACACAGCTCACTGAACCTGGAGCTTGACTGGCCATCTAGCCTGTCTCCCTTTCCTGGTGCTGATGATAGAGGCCTGCTGCTGCCACACCCTCTTTTTAAGTGGGTGCTGAGGATCCAAACTCAGGAACCTCATTCTTATGCAGCAAACATTTAACCCACTGAGCCATCTCCAATCCCTTCTTTTGATTTTTCTGGCACACTGGCTCTCTTAGATTCATTGCTTTTTCCCTATTGCTGTTTTACCATTTCCGTGTTGTCGATTTCTTGTCTGATTTTTTTTTAATTCTCTTCACTAATTAAGATTTCATTTGCCATATTTTTCTTAGTTTCTTAAGCTATGAGGACTAGTAAATGATCTTCAGTAAGTCCTATTCTGGCGCAGCCATATCAGGTGGGAACGACAAAAGTCATAAAGCCAGCACAGCCGCTTGTCTGTGACCCAGCAATGTTGAGCCACATGATGGCTGCATGCCACTTTCGGCTTTGATCTCCACATGTTGCAAGCATAGGGGGCTTTTAGTATTTGTACAATTTGGGGATGTTGGGTTGATGGGAAATTTCTTATGAATCATTTATGCTTTCTCCCAGGAGTGCTGCTTCTAATCTTTCCTAGGAAAGTCCTGAGCATACTACCCCTCCCACTTTTAGGGGAGATACTCTCATCTACTTGAAGGTTTTCTTGGATGTTGTGATACATATAAAGAAACCAGGGGTCTGGACTGGAGAGATCGCCCAGTGGTTAAGAGCACTGGCTGTTCTTTCTGGGGCCCTCAGTTCTATTCCCAGCAACCACATGGTGGTAATGAGTTCTTGTGCCCTCTTCTGGCCTGCAGGCAGACATACAGGCAAAACATTGTATAGATAATAAATAAATCAATCTAAAAATAAAAAGTAAGCCAGGGGTCTCTTTCTAAAGGCTATTCTTGAAACATCTGTCCCTGTACTTACTCAGGAACAAGATAATCAAAACAGTAAATTTAAAAAGGTCAACAAGATTTTGCTAGAGAAGTTGGCAGCAGATCAGATCACAGGCCTCTTCTTATTATACACTCAGGCGATTACATGGCATATATAGCAACAAAGTTAGATTAGCTGGAGTTATCTCTGCCTTACACAGAAACTTATATTGATGGACAAAGCATTGCGTTCTCTTCCAAAGGACCTGAGTTCGATTCCCAGCAACCACATGGTGGCTCACAACCATCTGTAATGAGGTCTGGTGTCCTCTTCTAGCAGGCATATATGCAAACAGAATATTGTATCCATAATAAATAAATAAATATTTAAAAAAATAGTAAAAGAATGAGGTACCAGGAACTCACCCTGTAGACCAGGCTGGCCTCAATTATGTTTTTTATTTCTAGCATTTTCATCTCTGTAAATTCAACTATGGTCTTTATATTTTTAAATATATTTTTATGTTTTCTCATGTGTGTACTTTGTCTTCTTGTATGTCTGTGCCCTGGTGCCCTGAGAGGTTAGAAGAGGGTGTTAGATTTTCTGGATCTGGTGCTATACACTGTTGTGAGCTGCCAGGTGAGTGTTAGGAATTAAACCCATGTCCTTTGCAATAGCAGTAATGTTCTTAACTAACCATTGTTCTGGTCCTTATAGTGTCCCTTTTGTATCTCTTTTACTGGCTCTCTTTATCTTGGTTGCATGTGTGAGTGTGTGTTTCAGTTATAGGGCTCAAATCTAAGGCTCGCAGATGCCACTGATGTACACTTCTAGCCTCAAGTCTTTATCTTTTGAACTATAAAGTAGTGATACTAACTGTGTTTTGTATGTTGAGTGTGTTTTATTAATGGATTTTTCTCATATTCTGATTACAGATGGTCGTACACATATATTTTTCAGTCTCCCTTCCCCTTTTTGTAGTACTGGGGACTGAACTGAGTACCTTGCATGTCCTAGCCAAGTTTACCACTGGAATAGACACAGCCATCTTTTTATTTTTTATTTTATTATTTTTTTGAGACAGTTACTTTGAGTAGACCAGGGCTCTCTTGTCATAGTTGGGAAGACAGGCTCAGGCCATGAGGGTTGAGTCAAGTATTCTTAAGCTTTCTCCTGAAGTTTAGTTACTTGAAAGTAGTTGAATCCTTCTGATCTTGCTTATATAAAATGACTGTGTTTATTTAGTCTTGACTACTTTTCCCACTGCTGATCCCAAATTCTTCTGAGCTTTATCCCCAGTGCTCCATGCATCTCTGTATTAAAGGCCAGGTACTTGCTCTAATCTTTTTGGAGAGTTCCTTCCCTAATCTTGAGTAATTTCCTTATTCAGCACATTTTTTTCTGTGTGTTTTTGGTATTATGCTAATTCTCAAGTGTTGCTTCTGCAGCTCTCTGGGATTCAGTGTGCAATTCTCCTTTAATTCTATTATTTGAACTCCGTGTGCCTTAGTTTTATACTCTAGCTCCTGTTCATCTTAGGGGCTATACTAGGGTCCACCAACATGTCCCTTCTCTGCGTTTTGTTGTGGAAGTTCTGTTGAGGTGTAAGTTGGAGCAGTTGCAGGGCTCATCGTGGCTTTTTTCCTCTTGGAAACCAGTTAATTTTGTTGCCCAATATACTTATGTGTGTATGAATATATATTCATATATTATTATATGTGGTTTGGGTTTTGATTAATTTCAGACATGATAATAAATCTATTTTCTTTTAATGTTACCATGGTAGGAAGTAGAAGTCCTGTGTGTCTTTTTTATATTAAATGTGATAGGAGCACATTCTATTCTCAAGATTAAAGAAAAGAGACTATTCATATGGATAGACATTTATAGATGGTGTTTTAGAGGAACAGTCCTTGTGCTTTCTTTTTTATTTTTCTTTATATACAGTGTATTCACAGTTGAATTATATAATTATATATAATAATGAGATGTAAATCACTACTTCCAATCTATTTTATTATAATTAGATTGGATTTAGTACTTGATGAAAATCTGCTAAAAAGAGTGCATGTTATATTTTTTAAATGTCTATTTTGTTCCTGGTATTATTCCAGCAGTATAGGAAGAAACAAGATAGGGAGAGCTCAGAGATAATCTTTCTGTTGTTTGAATATTTCTGATCATTGTATTCTGATCACAAACATCCCTGTCCATGGCACAGTGCCTCCATAATAAATCCCAAGGGGTAGAAGGATTTTTGTTTGTTCTTTTACACGGTTTCTAAGAAATTAACCATCTAATTTTGAAAGAGATTAGGGGTCAGATTTTAAAAATTATGAATCAGTGCAAAGCTTGTTTATGTATATGCATATTTAAGTGCTTATAAATTAGCCAATTTTACACTTACTTTCATTTTATTATTGTTCACTTTGTGCACATACAAATGAAAGCTTTTTCATTGATGTTCTATAATTTTAGACAAATGTATGGAAGATGGTTATTTTAATTCTCCTGTTTGTTGCATACAGTTTCGTGCACAGTTCTAGTTACTTTAGTAGATATCTATACTTTAGTATAGATAAAACAGTAACTTCAGCACTAAACACATATTCTGAAGTACTGTAGGTAATTAATAGTTAATTTGACCTCATCAGTTCTACAAAATGTTTAAAAAGCTGTAAAATACCTGTTTCATCTCATTTGTATAAAGGATTGTATTACTGTCTCAGTTTAGGTTCCACCACATGTAACTTAGAAATTAAGTTCCTACAAAAGGCAGTGATGATAAGAATAGATGTTTCGTTCTTTATAATTAGATTTTGAAATAAGAAGCAATCCATTATTTAATATTCACAGTTTTGCAAAAGAATATGTGGTGTTTCCTATGGGTGTGATGATAAACACCAGAAAGTTGCTATCTTTAAAGAACAGGCATTTTTTTTTTTCCTGTTATCGTGTTGGAAGTCAGAAGTCAGAAATGATTTCCTCTGGGCTGGACCCAGAGTGTTTAAAGTCTGTATTTCATAGGGAAGCTCTAAGAGAAAAACATTTACTTTTCCAGTTTTCAAAGGATGCATTTCTCACTCCTAGGTCTTTCCTGCATCTTAAATGCAAACAGTTATGTACCCCTTTTTATCTTTAGCAGAGTCTCCCTATGGCTCTCTCTTCTGTGTCTACTCGTGATTATCTTTACCACCCACCTAGATCACCCTGGGCAGTCTCCCAGTCTCAAGATCCTTAATCACACATTCCAGGTTTTCTTTTGCCATATAAAGTAATATTCATAAATTTTAGAAATTAAGATGCAAATATCTCTGGAAGATTACTGTTTAGCCTACCACCAAGTTTTATTTATAGATTTAAGCCAAAATGGAGTGCAGAGTACTGGTAAAGGTCACATAAAAACAAACATATTAGAAATTAGTTAGATTTGGAAAGAAGTAGAACCAACAGGTCGATAATATAAGTAAAAGATCCTGGAGTTCATGTGTTCTTTTTCAACAGTTTATATTACTGAATGTTTATTTGTTTGTTTGTTTGTTTCAGACAGAAATAAAGGAGACAATTTCTATATTTTTTACTGGATTTCTCTTCTGTCTTGTCTTTCACTTCTCTATAAAACTGTTGCTAGTTATGAATTCACAAGTTGAAACAGTCATATAACCTGACACTGAGATTAATGCAGAATTGCTTTATTTGATATTTAATGTATCTGTAGAGACCTTTTCATTGTTACTCTCCTTACGTCACTTCACCTCCTCTTATATCTTTGTTAATTTTATCACTACTACAAAACTGATCATTTTGTCACCAAAAGTGACACCTCAAATAAGGAGAAAGATTTTAGGAAACAGCTTTAACGATTTCTTAGCTCTCAGAAGATCTTCTATCTCAACTACATAATTCATTTCTGGTCTTGTTCATTATCATGCCAGTCTTTAGGATTAATCCTATACAGCTGAAAAGATTCACTCTGTAACTCTTTTTGGTATGCTTGATAATCTGTAGAGATACTAATAAGCATGGTATAGCAAAGTATACATATGTTTTGTGGTGTAATATTAAAGACAAATGTTCATGTTTCTATCTCTGAACTACAGAATACCAGAAGGCCCTATTGATCAGGGGACAGCTACAGGAAGAATCCGTGTTTTAGAAGAACAGCTTGCTAAGGCCAAAGAAAAGATCGAAAATTATAAGAAACAAGCCAGGAATGGTATGTGATTATGCACATTCTTTTCCATTTTAATATAGTGACTTTTGCACAAATATTGAAAATTCCTCTTACCAAATGCTAGAAATATTCTTACTTCCTATTCTTTGCAGGTCTTGGAAAGGATCATGAAATCTTAAGAAGGAGGATTGAAAATGGAGCTAAAGAGCTCTGGTTTTTTATACAAAGTGAATTGAAGAAATTAAAGAATTTAGAAGGAAATGAACTCCAAAGACATGCAGATGAAATTCTTTTGGATTTAGGACATCATGAAAGGTACTTTGTCCCTAGATGCTTCTTTTGAGCTTCCATAAAGATTATAAGTTATGAATGAGGCATTGAGACTTTGCCTAATTTATGTACTGATTGATCAGTGGTACTGTGTTTAAGAGTGGGAGATTATTTGATATCTAGTGGTGACAGTTATTGGTACGTGAAAGTGTCTCCTCTCAGAGTCCATTGTAACAGTTGACATTTGAAGCAGAGCGTGTGGGCTCACGTTACAGTGCGCTGGAATTCACACTGAAGCTGCAGATAATGTTTCTATTTTCTAAACGTTACAAACTTAAAAATGGTATCTTTGAGGGGTTTCTAGTGAAAGGTTAGCAGGTTTGGGTAAAGGAGAGTATCCTGCTAATTGTTCTGTTTATTTTCTAGAGAGGTTTGCCTAGTATCTGCCTATCTAAAGTTGTTTCTCCTCTTTACACATTTTGGTGTTAGTGTCCTACAGATAAAATGTACATGAGAATCATTCTAAGTAAGGTGAAACATCCTTTGGCTTATTATAGTTAAAAACCCGTGTTCTCAGTAGGGTTCTCCTGGGAATTACTGTCTTATTAGTGAATAATGAAAGAAAAATGATTGTGTTAGTACAAGCTACAGCTGTGAAGAGGAAGTGAATTAAGCCATACAAACTAGAGAGTCACATATATTAACGTCATCAACACTATGACAGTGACTTTGAAGTATTGATCTCCTATTTTAAGTAAAATTACATACAGAATCTCAGTGGACTAGAATGGCTTTAGGACTGTTGATTTATAGAAATATGATAGTATGTCTTTAAAGGGCTGTTGATTTTTTTTAGGCCCCAAAATAGGCAGTCCCCTCAATTTTTGTGCTAGCTTGCAGTAAGGCCATACTTAGACCATTAGGTCAAATGTTGACTAATTGTATCCTTAATAGGCTTCTACCCTAAAACTGATTCTCTATTCCAAGCTTCTATTAAACAGGCCTTTGTGTTTCTGTAGTTTGTTTATTGTAGCTTTATAGAAAAATGTAGATTAAAACATGATTTGATGTAAGTAGATATGTGGTATAAAACCAAAATTTGAATATTGTCTTCTGATGAAATAGTAGAATAATTTACTTAAATTACTTGATGAGAATTTAATTCTCAGGTCTTTTCTAAATGAAAATAATTTAAAATTATTTTGTAAATATAATTGTGCATATGTTTTTCTAATTATGTATATAAATTAAAAATGAATACGATAAACAAGCCTATGATAAATGTCTGTAAATTGCAATTATATTTTATTGTCAGTTGAACTTTTAAAAAATTATATTAAGTCCCGGCATTGCCATTTAGTGTATATTAAATAATGATATTTCACTGAAAACAAAATGCAAAGTACAAGTACACAAGTCATTTCTTATTGTCTTAAGTAGAAATCATAATGAATCTGGGAGAAAGCACAGAATAGTAATTTAATTCCAGGAAGGCAGATTAGAATGTAACAATACAAATAACGAGCAAACACGGCAACACATTAGAGAAGTAATCTTAAAATAGTGAATACAGGAAGGATTTGTATCATATAGAAAATATCCTCATACTGACCATTTTTACATCCTTAAAGTATAAGAACTGAAGTGGACTTCTGTGTGTCCTCCACTGGGCTTTGTATATCATATAGAGCTTCATCTTTATTTTCCTTACTGTCTCTGTCTCTGTCTCCCCCCTCCCCCATGTGTGTGTGTCTCCCCCCAACATTGGTAGAGTCACAGAATATTAAAGAAAATACCACTAAGAATTCTTATATACACTAAAATCACTGTCTTTTTAAGTGTCTTTTATTTACCTCTTAATTTATAGTATACTTGTTATCTGTTTTATTTTTGAAGGAGTCCAAATTATGGTATGTAAGTTGTCTCTAAACTAACAGATTTTTTTTTTTCTGAAAAATCATTTGAAGTGTTAATGTATCAAAATCTTGCTTAGATTTCTCTGTGAACCTCTCTTTTTTGTTCAATCTACAGTCAAGGGAAAAACTCTACATGATTTTAAGTGAGGCATATAATTTACTGATAAATTATGGATTTTGGATGTAGCTCAATGATAGAATGCATCAGTAGATGTGGATGGCCTTGGATCCAACTGCCAAAACCCAAATTGTGAATATACAAGTTGTACATTTTTGATGATTTGTTTAAAATGCATACATATTGTGTAATGATTTCCAGAGTTAAATGAGTGAACATATCCTTTACCACATCATTAGTGTGTGTGTGTGTGTTGATAACGTGCTGCCTTACAAGTTTAAACAAACCAGTCAAGCATTGCTAACCCATGCCCGTACATTAGATGTCCAGAACCTATTTCATTTCATAACCCAATGTTTGCACCAATTGACAACATCTTCGAATTTCATCTACTTTCTAACCCTAGGCACACTATGCTTTTTATGAGGTTGAAGTTTTGTCTGTAAGTAAACACATTACAGTATTTGTTTTTCTCACACTGGCTCATTTCACTTAGTATAATATTCAACAGAGTTATTCATGATGCTAGAAATGGCATGATTTCTTTTCCTTTAAAAAAATACATTGACAATTTTATATATAATCTGTATAATGTTAAATGATCGTCTCAATCCACCATTTCTCATCTTCTACCCCTTACCTCTACCCTGTATTCCCTAACATATCCTCTTCCCAACATCATGTCTTCTCTTCTTTTCCTTTTAATGTTTTTTTTTATGTTGTATTGTGTGTGCGTTTATATAATCATCAGTTAAGTGACACTTAGATTGTTGCTAGATTAGCTATTGGGAATAATGCTGGTGTAATTCAATATATAGATTTCATTTCATTTGGATATTTACTCACAAGTGGGATTGGTCACATGTTCCGTAGTTATATTTTTGTTTTCACCAATTTAGATTCCCAAGAACTTTACAAGTTTCCCTTTTCTCTATAATTTCTCCAGTATTTATTTTCTCTTCTCTAACCCTTCCCTCCCTTCCTGACCACTCTCCTCCTCTCCTCATCCCCTCTGTTTTTGTTCATTTGTTTATTTGCTTTGCAACAGAGAAAACCAATTCTATGTACTATGTACTTCAGATTGTCCTCAAGCTCATGATTCTCCTGCATTAGTCTCCCAGATCCTAGAATTATAGACCTATACCACCATACCTTGCTCTCTCATCTCTCTCTCTCTCTCTCTCTCTCTCTCNGGCACAGCGAGGAGGGGTATATGTACGTATGTATGTATGTATCTTCTCTCATTTATTTCCTTCCAGTTTCTCTCCTCCCTCCTCCACCTTTCCTCTCCCCCGGGTCCACTCCTCCTTTTCCCTTCAGAAATGACCAGGCTTTTCAGATATACCAACCAAACATGGCATATCAAGTTGTAGTAAGACTACACATACCCCCTTATATTAAGGCAAGATAAGGCAGCCCAGTAAGAGGAAAGGGTCCCAAAGCAGGCAAGAGTCAGAGACAGCCCCCAATCCTACTGTTAGGAGTCCCGTAAGAATGCTAATCTACACAACCATAACATATGCAGAGGACCTAGGTTAGACCCTTACAGGCTCCATGATTATTGGATCAGTCTCTGTGAGCCCGTTAGACCCTGGCTAATTCTATGGGTTTTTTTGTGACCCTTCTGGCTCCTACAATCCTTCCCCCTTTCACAGGTTTCTTTAAACTCAACCTAATGCTTGGCTATGGATCTCTGTATTTGTTTCCATCAGTTGCTGGATAAAGCCTCTCTGATGACACTTATGCTAGGCTCTGGTCTATGAGTATCACAAAGTAGCATTAGGAATTATTTCATTGACTTGGGTTTTTTTTTTTTTTCTGGTCATGTTTAGTTTTATCATAGGTCTTGGGTCTATCCAGACTCTGGTTCCTGGACCTCACAGGTAGTGTATGTAAGGCATGGACTTCCTGTCATGGCAGGGGTCTCAAACTGGACCAGTCATTGGTTGGCCACTCCCACAGTTTCTGCATCACCTTTACCCTAGTACATCTTGCAGGCAAGGACAAATTGTAAGTCAAAGGTTTTGTGACGAGGTTGGTGTCCCAATCCCTCTACTGGAAGCCTTGCTTGGTTATAGAAGATGGCCAGCTCAGGCTGTGTATCCCCTAGTACTAGGAGTCTTAGCTAGGGTCATCCTTGTAGATTGTCGGAGTTTCCCTTGCACTAGGTTTCTACCTTGACCTCTAAATCACCCCCAATTCGTCATTTCCTCCCCCACTTGTCCCCCTGTTTCTATCCCCACCTACTTCCTGTTCATCCATGAAATGTATTCTATTTTCCCTTCTCAGGGTGATTCATGTGTTCCCTTGAGCCTTCCTTGTTACTTAGCCTCCCTGGGGCTGTGGATCGTAGCCTGGTATTCCTGTACTTTAGATCTAATATCCATTTATAAGTGAGTACATAAGTGAGACAGTGTTTGTCTTCCGGGGTCTGGGTTACCTCATTCAGGATGACTTTTTTCAAGTTCCATTCGTTTGCTTGCAAATTTCATGATGTTATTTAACAAATGAGTAATACTCCATTGTGTAAATGTACCACATTTTCTTTAGTCATTTTCAATTGAGGGGCATCTAGGTTGTTTCCAAGTTCTGGCTGTTACGAAAAATGCTGCTATAAACATAATCGAGCTAGTTGTAAGGTATACCTTGTGGTATGATTGAGCATCCGTTGGGTATATGTCCAGTAGTGGTATAGCTGCATCTTGAGGTAGATCGATTCCTAATTTTCTTAGAAACCACCATATTGATTTCCAAAGTACCTGTACAAATTTGCCCTTCCACCAGCAATGGCTGAGTGTTCCTCTCTTCAGCAAAAGCTGTCACTTGTGGTTTTGCTCTTAGCCATCCTGCCTGGTGTAAGATGGAATCTCAGTCTCATTGATTTGCATTTCTTTGATGGCTAGGGATGTTGAACTTTCTTTAAGTGTTTCTCAACCATTTGAGAGTCCTCTTTTGAGAAATCTCTGTTTAGATCATCCCATTTTTAAATTGGATTATTTGCTTTGTTGTCT